TCCAGTTTTGGGCTCCACAATTCAAAAAGGATGTGGAGAAGCTTGAGTGAGTCCAGAGAAGAGCCACGTGCATGATCAGAGGTCAGGAAAACAGACCTTACGATGACAGGCTGAGAGCCATGGGCCTCTTTAGCCTGGAAAAGCACAGGCTCAGGAGTGATCTTATGGCCATCTACAAGTTTATCAGGGGTGACCAGCAGGATCTGGGGGAACGTTTGTTCACCAGAGTACCCCAAGTCTTCCCCCCCAAGGGATGATGAGGTTGAACGGTCAGAAACTACTGCAAGACTTTTTCAGGCTGGACATAAGGAAAATTTTCTTTACTGTCCGAGCCCCCAAGGTCTGGAATAGCCTGCCGTCGGAGGTGGTTCAAGCACCTATATTGAACACCTTCAAGAGCAAATTGGATGCTTATCTTGCTGGGATCCTGTGACCCTAGCTGACTTCCTGCCCTTCGGGCGGGGGGCTGGACTCGATGATCTCCTGAGGTCCCTTCCAGCCCTAATGTCTGTGAAATCTATGAAATCTAGGAGGCAAAATTATCAAAGCTGAAATTGTTCCTTAATAAGTCTTAAGTGTTTGATCAGTGCTGGCTTATACTGAACCTCTCTTTATTTCTTGCCTATTTTTGCAAATTCCTGTCATGTTTAATCCACTATAGTCACAAAAATATAACCCAATAGCCAGGCTAATATACAGGATTCATAAATTATGAAACAACAGTGCCAAATCCATTGCAGCCATCAATCTGATTAAGAACAATTAAGCTAGAACAATCCAGCTTCGGTCCAATGTGGGTTGGGTGGTATCAGTGGTGCAGCATCAGCAGGGATGTTTCTACACACCTGTGCTGGGACGAGACAACTGGGAGTTGTGCCCATGCTGCTGCCCCTTCTTCCAGTCCCCTGGCTGTGGCATGGGCACAGCTTCAGGCCAGTGAGGAGCTGTGCCAAGATCAGGTATCTGCAAATTACGTCTGCATTGCTGCTGCTTCTCCATACTCCCCCAGCTCATCCCCCCTTGGCTGTGGCACAGGAACAGCTGGAAGCTACCTGGCCCAAACATCACTTGCTACCAGCTGGAAACTGTGCCCATGCCACAGCCAAGGAGTGTGGGAAGCGAGGGGAAGCAGGAGCATGGGTACAGCTCCCTCTGCCTGCTAACATGCGCTGAAACCACCTGGCCTGCTTTGGACCAGAGCAAAGAGGGCAAGGATGAGGAGCGGTGGTGTGGGTGCAGCTGGAAGCTGCTCAGCCTCAACATAGCTCCTTGCTCCAGAGCCCTGATCCAGGCACAGCCAAAACCCTTCAACTCCATGGGCTGAATGTTGCTGAGCCCTGGCTAAGAGAAACAATGGAAGACCCATGAAGCTTCCAGAACTGTATGACAGATAAAAGGAACCTAAAATTCATCACTTGAAAACCTCATAGGAGATATGACATGACTTTTAAATGCCTGCAGTTAGCAAAAGTGTGTTGTACTGATCTAGCAAATAATTATGGCTGGCTGTATGCACGACACAAAGAATTCTTATACATTTAGATTCAATAATAGAATCAGCTTCCTAAATTCCAATAGCATTTTTCTTTAAAATACAGATATTGTCAAAACTGTACACTATCTGGGTTGAGCCACCCACAAAATTCTGATAAAATAAATGTTTTTCTAACTTATCTAAACTACATAACGCAAAAAAGACCTCTATAATCTAGCACATTGTTTTGTACACTAGCAAGGATCCATACCTTTTATGCTGTAGTATGCACACATTTAGTTTCCTATATAGGTACTCAACAAATTTATCTCTTGGGTAAAATAAAGGCAATTTTGTTTTAAGTGAATGTATATAGACTTCTTGTGTTTTATAGTTATTTTATACGATGAATCCCTAATGAATCGTGATTCCCTTGACTTCAATAAACAGGTCACATTATTATCTGGATATATCCTTTGTTTTAGTTTAAATAGATTTAACTTCTTTGGATCAACTCATAACACTGCTACACATTTAAGAATAGTACTCAACCTCTGTATCCTGAGCATCTTACTTTTGTCATGGAATTAAGAGAATCTTAACATGTGAAAAAAATCATCAGGAAATGTAGCATGTACTTTGCATGCATCGTTGATGGATATTTGCTGTTACTGCTTATGCTACTGGCTTAATTAATCCACAAAGCCATCTTTGTTTTAAATATGAAGCAGATTGCTTTTTCAAGTCCTTCTACACTTTTGCTTTATCCACAGATGTTGGCTTTATAGACGTCAAATAGATGGTTGTCTGAATCGAACTCCTCCTGGTTTCTATGACAGGGTGTGGCAGATCTTGGAGAGAACACCCAATGGTTTAATAGTAGCAGAAAAATACTTACCACAGGTAAAACAGGTCTAAATATTTAGAGAGATGCAAAAATCAGATTTTGAACACCTAAATTTATTCACATTGTATTTTTGTTCCTCCATGGTATATGTATTACAGAGTACAAAGAGTTCTAACTATAAATTATTACTTGGGTTAGAAAAATCATTTGTTCTCATCCTAATGTTTTCCACGGAAGAGGTGTCTAGTTTACTTGCCACTTCAAAAATATGCTAAAGAAGAATCTGACATGGGTCTTTCTAAATGTATGCTATTCTAGGAATGTGGGACTGGAAGGTGGTCTTGAATCATGGAGTCACATGCTCTTACAGATTTCCCTGGTATTGTTGATCCATATAGATGGTTTAACCTTCACTTTAACAAAGCCTTATTTGTTACTGTTGGATAAATAATTCACAACAAATAGTCCAGAAATCTCTATTAGAGAAGTAGAGAGAGTTAAATTATTAAACTAAAATATGAAACTTTAATACTTGCATAAATTCTTTTTCAGCAACCAACATTATCTGATATGACCATGTATGAGATGAATTTTTCCCTTCTAGTTGAAGACATTTTGCAAAACATTGACCAGCCTGAATACAGACAAATTATTGTTGAGGTTTGTATTATATAATAAAAAGAAGCTAAATTTATAGTTTTGTGGTTACAACTTCAAAAATAATTATATAAGTCTCAAAGAATCCAGTAAGAATAAGGGGTTTAATAGAATATAAGCACTTAAACAGTAGAACTGACAAAAAAGTTTTGAGAACACCCTCCTTATGTATTTGTGTGCAAGTTAAGCAAGTTCCTATGAGCATGTTTAGAAAATGTAAGATTAAGGAGGTTAAAGGTAAACTCTGACTATAAAATGTCCATATATAGCAGCATATGCAACCTCCATCTTATGCCACTACCACCTCTTTACACTATTGTGTTATTTAGGGTGCCTTTCTTCAAGTGTGAACACATAACCCCCCTGGCAGAAGACTAGTCCTCCCTCCCATTTTGTAGGACAACCCAGTGAGCTGTTTACCCATTGAATCAATGGTATTTAACCTCCAACTTCTTCCAGTCATCCCATAATCTCTAAAAATGTGAGTCAATAGAAGGACCCTGCCAGACTATTACTCACTTTCCCCCTATGTAGATACTGTCTAAGCTAGCCAAGAGGCAGATCACCCCTCAATGACTGCCGCATGAGTTGGTCTCTCTGCAGCCACCCAGTATTCCTTGTTGATGACCAAGAATCAGTTTCTGGATACCTTGGATATTCCCTTAGCACACAGGGAGTTCAACAGGATTTTATTATGCCTAATAACTGGGCCGTGCCAGTGACTGGGACATCCCCCAGTCTCACAATATTAGAATCCCAAGGACAAGAGGTGAATATAAACCACCAATTCCTACTAATAAGCCCCAAACTAATCTAACATCCCATTTTCAAACCCTGTGGAGCTGCAAGGCATTAAAATTCCCCTGAATGTTGTCTGTTGCTTATTTTGGTTCCATTGTTTTATTATGTTGCTCTGATGGTTTAAAATGCATCTTATTTATACATGATTATCCGTGAGTACCGCAGAACCTCTGTCCATTCTTTAATGATTGTTTATTAGTCGTCCATATTACTTTTAATGGTTTTTGACTGTTCCACATGTTTCTCCAATTTCTAACCTGTATTTTACACAAAATTCTGCTTTTTAATATGTTGAAATAAAGTATTACCTGTATACACTACCAAAATTAAGATGACTTTTTAAATAGCGTGTTAGCTTAAATCATAATGCAAATGCATTTTATCTAACCTTAACTTGAACTGGCTTAAATTTTCAGCCTTTTTTTTTTTTTTTTATATATACTGTAGTTGTTAATGGTGATATCTGTTGTGTTGGAGAGAAACCCTGAATTAGAGTTTCAGGACAAGGTGGATTTGGACAAATTGGTGAAGGAAGCATTTCACGATTTCCAGAAAGACCAGAACAAACTAAAGGGAGTTGAAAAACAGGTAAGTAAAATATTCACTTATGTCAAATTTATAGTTCTTCATGATCAGGTTGGTATGAATATTAAATCTGTGAAGCTTGAAATAAGACAGACATACAGGACTTCGAAATGGAATAAGACATTTGAAGAAATAATTCTGGTTAAGTACTGCAGAATTTGAGCTGCTTCAGAGTGAATTCTGAGGAGCCTATAAAGATGTTTCCTAGAGCTTCATATTTGAACACTAGAAATTTGTAAGTTAACAGATAAAATTGCTTGAGAAGGAACAGCCTACTCACAAAGGTGCATCTGTGCCTACTCCCTTCAGTTCTGTAATGAGCTTTTAGGTTAAGCTAGAATAACATGAATATCTTTTTAAGATCTTTAGATTAATATGCATGTTAAAAGATTGAAGACTTAAGTAGGATAAAGATTAAATAGTAGTAGCTAGACATGGAGATATATAGGCCAACATTTAAAAAAATGGCCTGAAGTTAGGCTCGTCAATAAGGGTACAAATACAAACATTTCCAAATACAAATATTTGGAAGAACTAAATAATCAAATCTCCCATTGACCTCAGTGGGAATATTTTGTTGGCAAGACATCCAGTTTTGCATTTAAAATACTTACCCATTGCTTTTTGGTTGTAAAGAAGTAGCCATGACCTAATAAACTGTTTCTGCAATAGTAGTTTTGGAAATCATTATTTTGTCTTTAGTAAATGCCCACTACATGGTTTTAAAGAAGGTATTCCCAAGTGAAATTAATATTTTCTTCTTAAGGGCCTCTGTGCATTTCTGCTTAAAGGTTTTGGTGCTTCTCTCCCTGCCAGGGCTCTCCTACTCAGGAGTACTTCATTAATTGTGGAAGAAACACCACACTGATACAGCCATGCTGCTTCTGGTACCCAGCTTAGAACTAGCACTGTTACCTCTGTGGCACTTCATTGTGCCATGTAGATGTACCTATATTTTCCCAACACAATTTGCTGCATCACAAGAGTGCCAAATGCACCCTGGATGAATTGGGAACAGCTTTCTCTCTCTTGCAAACAGGCAGCATCTGAATTTGAGTTCAGCTGCCATGATAGAGTTTGTTCCAGGTTTCCACCTTGGGCTTTATTACTCTGTTCATAGCCTTAAAAACGGCACGTTAACAAGGAAGCATTATTTCAGCTTAGAAAAGTGTTAATATGGAGTCAAGGTCCTAGCATTTGTTTAGTACGTGCACTAAACGTACAGGAAATCCTTAGACAAGTTTCCTCACAAACTCAGCCCTGATTTAGTGGGGGAATCATAACATGTCTAGCGACCTGGCTGATGAAGGCATTTAAAAATAATGTTTTCCTTCATTTACTCTTAGACAATACTCTCATATATATCAGAAACAGAATGTGGGAAAGATCAAATATCCCTTAGCAAACCTAAGTAAGCATTTAAAGAAAATCTGGATTCCTGTGGGAGTCTTAGAAATATATTTTGTTTCTTTTATAAGACTAATAGAATACGTTCATGCTGCAGCTGCATTTTTAATTGTGACCTTAGTTACACATGCAATGATACTACCTAACATTTCAAACAAAGTAAAAAGAAATTGATGTTTCAGTGTATATTAAAAGAGGAAATGCAATGGAACAGTAGGAGCTACATTTGTACTCATCTACTTTTTCATAAAATTATGCCCAAATCCAAAAAAATCCTAAAGATTTTTCTAGATAATTGAGTATATTGACTGCAACTCTAGTCATTTTTTATTTTTTAAAGTCCTATATGACCAATTACTTTAGAAATTGAAACACTTTGTAGTTTATAATACAATATAACTGGTAATGTCAAAAATGAAAACTGTTCCCTTTGCCTACAGAATGGGTTCCGCTAACTTACTCTTCGCTAGTGTTTAAACTTGAACCCAGTGAAGCAACATTTTTCATAGAAAAAACAACACTTTTTTTCCCCTCCAACAGGATGATATGACCTCCTTTTACAACACTCCCGCGATAGGAAAAAGAGGAACATGCAGCTACTTGACTAAGGCGGTGATGAATTTATTGTTGGAAGGAGAAATGAAGCCAAGCAGTGATGACCCGTGTACTATTAGTTAAGCCTCAGAAAAAACAAGAAGCATTGCTTATTTTGGTTTTACTGTATTTTGCATGTGATATTAAATTTCTGTTTTGAAGAGTAGCAATGAGCTGTGCTAGAAATCTATACCATCCTTCACTGAGAGAAGTACAAATAGTACATGCCACAAGTGAGTATTTGGCAATAAAAATAGTATAAAGAAACACTGTCAATCGTAATGAATAATTATAAATGTCAGAATAATGTGCTGACTAAAAATTATGCATGCCTCATGACAACAGCTCATATCAAGTGTAATCCCTATAATATTTAAGTAAAATTGCATTGCTTGTACTTATGAGTAGGCATCTTAAATAATGCTCTGAAATTATTTACACACTGTTAACACTAGTTTAAGATTTAGTCTCTTTTCCTCCATTTGTACTATAATTCTATACAACATTTATTGTAAATGCTGAACGATATACAGCTGAAATATTTTTAAAACTATATATTTGATCTATCATTTCATTACAAAGCTGTTAACTTTGAAAATTAAGAAAGGTTTTGTACTTGGACAGTTTAGATAAATTGGAGGTAAAAACAATATTCTTCATATTCTGCGTAATATATTTTCTTTAAAAATTTAGTTTAGTTGATACAAATATATCAAAATTGCTTAGAGGTTTAATTTAGCATTTAACTTGCTTTGCACAGATTAAATCGCAATAGAAAATGAATATAAATTATGAAGATAAAATAGCATTTTATAGTTCAATAAATGTCACTGCATCTGGCTGATTTTTTTCTAAATTTTGTATAGGCTCTAAATTAACACTGGAAATATTATTTAATATGGGAATAGAATTTTTAAAATGCAGCTAAGAGAAAGTAAAATCAGGGCCATAATGTAAGAGAATCATTTTAAATGTATGCATTCGAATTCTTTCTTACATTGACAGCTCTGGTCTCCCTCTACATCCTGAGTGGAGTCTACAAATTCTAACTGTATTATTTTTGTAGAAAGTAACTTTCAGATGTTATCATAAAATCTTACTTTCCCTGTTGGTTACAATGCCCATAGTCTGATACAAGGACTCCCATTCACTTTAATGAGCATTGAATATATGTCGGTAAACAAATGATATTCTATTTTGCTATAAGAATCCTGTTAAAATGTTTGGTTTCTGTGCAAAGATCATCTAATGTTGGTTGATGAGAAATATGTTTACAATAAATTAACTTTCTTTAAAATGTGTATTAAATGCATGGTAATATAATAGCTACAGATAAGTGGTGGAGTGAATATGAGAGTAATGTTTTGGTGCGAGTGCCTAAACAAATGAGGGAAGAACTGACTCAAATGCTTGTGGTAGTCAGTGGTTCTGCTGTAGTATGAGTAGCTTACCCTGGTAGTCACAGAATGAAATGCTTCTGAAAACAGAAGATGGTATTTGTTGTGGAAGCAGAGATCGGAACGTAAAAAGGATCCAGCTCTTCCTGACTGGAAAATTAAATCCCTAGCTCTGAGGCTGATTGGAAGAGGAAGTAAAATTTCCCTTGGCCTTTGTTTTCCAAATATTTATACAGTTATAACAGAGAATAAGTAAAAATACTAACTCATTTACCAGGGTATGACAAAAATCGGATTTTAAAGCTCACTCTTTCCACTCAAGTCACCACCTGATGCCTGAAATATTGCCCAACATCTCTCCTAACTATAGTTGTCCAGTAAGAAATGCCACAAAAAACCTTAGCCCTCTCACTATGGTAAACTTAGGGATTGTAAATTTATTCTATAAGCACAAACTGTCACAAATCTTAAGTGCACAGAAGTCTTGGTTATATCACACCATCACTTGCAGTGAACTTCCCCTCTTTTGTATAGTGTCCTAGAGGGGTTCTCAGAGCTGTTTGGGGATTTCGAGGTGCCTTTAGATGTGCATGCATGTTTTATAGAGCTCTTTATAAATTAGCACATCCAGTGCTAATTAGGTAACGTTTTTCAGACAGAATTCTGTGGCAGCAAAGTCATGTCAAACTCTTTAGTGTCACCTCAAGTACAGTCTGTGTTAAAACTTAACAGTGACTGTATTTTATAATTCCATTAATCTAATCACACCTGCATGAGCTATAAATGAGAACAGTTATCTGCATATCCATGTATTGTACATTAACCAGGATGCACAGGATCCAAAGGCACCTGAGCACTAAAGGAGATCAGCCCTATGAACATCATACTGCTTTTTAATGCATCTTTGTCAACAACAACAAGACTAAATCACTAAGAATTGTTGAAAAATTTAAGTTGATGTTAAGAACTGGAAATATAAACTCATTTCTTTTATTGTAGTTCATGAACCAATTCTTGTCTTTCTCAACAAAGAATGACTTTAGCAAAGATGCTCTTCACAAAAGATCAGTCCCAAAGTTTGGCTTACAAAAAACCCAAGGAATGAAAAAAATGTAAAGATTCACACACAGCATTTCCCCCTCCCCCTCATGGATTTCAAAAAACAAGATTAAGGACGATAGTCACTTGCCGTAAGGCCCCTAGCCTAGCATGAGTGCAGTCTGTGGGGACTGTAGCACTGCTGTCATTCTAACACCATCTTAAACAGTAAATTTAGATGGCCACATCAGTTCATAGAATCAAAGAAAATTAGGATTGGAAGGGACCTCAGGAGGTCATCTAGTACAACCCCTTGCTCAAAGCAGCACCATCCCAAACTGGATCATGCCACCCAAGGCTTTATCTACCTGGGTCTTAAAAACCTCCAAGGATGAAGATTCCACAGCCTCACGAGATAACCCGTTCGAGTGCTTTACTACCCTCCTAGTGAGAATGTACTTCCTAATATCTAACCTAAACTTCTTTTGCTGCAACTTGAGACCCTTGCTCGATGTTCTGTTATCTGTCACCATTGAGAAGAGTCCAGCTCCATCTTCTTTGGAACTACCCTTCAGGTAGTTGAAAGCTGCTATTAAATCCCCCCTCAGTCTTCTCTTCTAAAGACTATATAAGCCTAGTTCCATCAGCCCCTCCTCAGATGTCATGTGCCCCAGCCCCCTCACCACTTTTGTTGCCCTCTGCTGGACTCTCTTCAATTTGTCCACATCCTTTCTGTAGTGGGAGGCCAAAAATGGGACACAGTACTCCAGATGTGGCCTCAACAATGCTGCATAGAAGGGAAGAATCACTTCCCTCAATCTGTTGGCAATGCTTCTACTAATGCAGCCCGGTATGCCATTAGCCTTCTTCACAACAAGGGCACACTGTTGGCTCATATTCAGCTTGTTATCTACTGTAACCCCCTGGTCCTTTTCTGCAGAGCTGCTCCTTAGCCAGTCAGTCCCCGGCCTCTACCCATGCAATGCGTTGGACTGTTCCATCTTCAGTGCAGGACTTTGCACTTGTCCTTGTTGAACTTCCTGAGATTTCTTTTGGTCCAATCCTCCAATTTGTCAAGGTCTCTCTGAATGCTAGCCCTACCCTCCAGCTTATCCACTACTCCCCCCAGGCTGGTGTCATCCATGAACCATCCCATCTTCCAGGTT